TACCTCTTCCTCCGTTCTGGCAAGTCCAGATCGCCTACTCGAAATTGCAACTTCAGTTTTTTTGCGTAGTCCATGGGGCCGTCCAAGTAACTCTTTATCCCTATCCCTTCTTTCAACTTCCCGTATATCTCCAAGTGGTCTTCGCTTCATACCTTCTTCCGAAGGGTTGCCTCCTCCCTACTTTCTAGCATTTCCTTGACTTTCTTCTTGAACCCCCCGAACCCTTCCGTGTCCAATGTCTCCTCCTCGTCTCCTATCTCCTTCCAAACCCTCTCTACCACCTTGTCCCATCTGATTCCTTTCTTCCCTGGAGTCGCTTTTCCCCAAGCTGCCTTGTCAACCATGGCTGGTAGTCTATCGTCCGACATTCTACTTACCTTGTACTGCCAATTCAACTTTTGCATGTCTCTCTTTGTTTGAAGAGAGTACATTCCCAGTTCTGCTCCCAATACCGTGTTGCTCGTTGTACCTGAACATCCTAGTATTTTCTTGGCCGCTGCCATCTGCACCGTTTCCAGCTGCTTGACGGCCTTTTCGTTACCTTCCCATACCTCTCCTGCATACTCTAGCTTAGGTACAATCACATTCAAGAGAACACACCTCTTAATCCTAGTGTCTAGGTGTGGGTCCGTAAGGATCTCGTCCATCTTGCCTATCTGAGCTTTACCCTTCCCGATCAACTTTGCTATGTGTGCGTCCCATTAGCACTCCTTCCTTCGAATCTCTACTCCCAGGCACGTATACCTGTCTACTACCGGTAGTTCTTCCTCCCCCCATTTCCATTTGAATTCTACGGGATTTTTCTTGCCTTCGTTACAGACCACTACGCATTTTCCTACGTTCGCAGACAGTCTCCATTTTCGGGTGTGTCGTACTGCCGCATCTATATGTTCCTGCAACCCTTCTGGTGTTTCGGATACCCCCACGAAATCATCTGCAAACATCAGTCCGGACACACTCTTTCCCCCTACTTGGACTCCCTGTCTTACTGCTTCAACCGCCCTTATCAAGTCGTTGATGTAAATCTTGAAAAGAGTGGGTGACATCGTACAGCCCTGTGCGACTCCTTGGAGTATATCCACGTACTTCGAGATTTCCCCATCCAACATCACTGCACTTCTTGTGCATTCTGTCATCTTTTTCAACATCCTCCACATTTTCCCCCGGATCCCTATGTCCCACATCTTTTTCCACAATCCATTGCGCCAAACGGTGTTGTAGGCTCTTTGTACATCTAGGAAGAAACAGTATGTCGTACGCCCGGCGTCTTTCCTACCTTGGATAATTTTACTCAACGTATAATTGCCAAGCGACGAAAACCCAATCCCGATGGCAATCACCGGGGCGGGCGGGGGGAGGTTCATTTTTATAGTTGGGCACGGTTGAGTCAACGTCTTCGTCTTTGCGTAGCATCATTTTTTTTACGATACGTGCGCCTCCGCAGAGACGTGTAGGTTGTTTGGTTGGCAACAACACTTTGAGAGGATGCCTTGCGGCAACAAAGGAGTATCAA